CAAATCGCCATTTCCGGTACGTTGACCAAAGGAATCTGCGAACGTCTTGCCATTTTCTGGCAAGAACATGCGTGGCGCTGAGGCGGCAGTCACATTTTGAAAAAGGAGCCGCCCTCAATCCGTGAAGCTCTTGCAACTTCCTAAAACGAACGGCGCGGCGCTAAGACGAGAGCTACATTTTGAAAACCACCCGCCCTCAATCCGTGAAGGTGTTGCAAATTTGTAAAACATGAGTGTGCGCGGTGCTAAGGCGAGAGCCACATTTTGAAAACGACCCGCCCTCAATCCGTGAAACTGTTGTAATTTTTAAAATGAACGTGCGCGGCGCTCAGGCGAGAGCTACGTTTTGGAAGCGACCCGCCCTCCATCTGTGAAGCTGCTGCTGATTTTTAAGCTTCAGGGTCATCAGTGGTGAAGAAGTCTCGGCGAAACGCCCGGCCCGCTCTAGAAACTGTCCTGGGAGTGCGACAGGGGAAAGTTATTCATAAGGAAAAATGAGCTGTCAAGGACTACGGTCCCCCAAGATGCGGCGGCGACCATACCAGCCTTCCTTATTGCTGCGTGAAGCTCCCCCCTTGGAAGACCAGCGCCCGATGGGTCTGCCGTGCAGGCGAGAGCCCCGTTTTGAAAAAGATTCGCCGTGAAAAGGAACAGGGAGTTGGTGGAGGAGGAGAAGGAGGACGGAGGAGGGATGGAGTTGGATGAGGAGGAGGAGGAGGAGGACGGATGGTGGAGGAGGGATGGAGGCGGAGGAGGAGGAGGAGGAGGAGGAGGAGGAGGAGGACCAGTGTAAACCCAAGGCGCGCCAATGATGTTGCCATAAACCCTCCCTCGAGTTTCCCCTTCACAAGTCCCTACAGGAATTTGTTTTCATTGCGGGACTAGCCCCATTGAAGGACAACCGCGTGATAATTCTTAACCGTGCCAAACACCATGCCTGGGCATTTCAACTCCGCGAATCAACGTGACTGCTGCGTCCTGATAGTCCTGAATCGTGATCGATCACCATTCTTGGGACTTCAACCCGACGAGTCCTTGAAACTGCTGCAAGCTTTTATGACGAATGTGTGTGGAGCTAAGGCGAGAACCACATTTTGAAAACGGGCCGCCCTCCATCTTGACAAGTGTTGCAAACTGTTACGTAAGACGAATGTGCGCGGGCGCAAAGGCGAGAGCCACGTTTCGAAAACTGGCCGCCCTCCATCCTTGAAGTGTTGTGAACTTTACAGACGAATATGTGCGGCGTTAGTGCGAGAGCCATTTTGAAAATGATCCGCCCGCTACCTTTGAGGCTGTTACAATTTTCATGCTTCAATCTTAAGCAGAACGCCCTTCCCAACCCTCCTGGCACGCCTGGGGATGCGACAGAGAGGAGTTGTTTGTCAGGAGGAGGAGGATGAGGAGGAGGAGGAGGAGGAGGAGGGGGAGGAGGAGGAGGAGGAGGAGGAGGAGGAGGAGGAGGAGGAGGAGGAGGAGGAGAGGAGGAGGAGGAGGAGGAGGAGGGAGGAGGAGGAGGAGGAGGAGGAGGAGGAGAGGGAGGGAGGAGGAGGAGGAGGAGGAGGAGGAGGAGGAGGAGGAGGAGGAGAGAGGAGGGAGGAGGAGGAGGAGGAGGAGGAGGAGGAGGAGGAGGAGGAGGAGGAGGAGGAGGAGGAGGAGGAGAGGAGGAGGAGGAGGAGGAGGAGGAGGAGGAGGAGGAGGAGGAGGAGGAGGAGGAGGAGGAGGAGGATGGGGGGGAGGAGGAGGAGGAGGAGGAGGAGACCGAGGCACGGTGGCCAACGTGGTGTATATGCGCCACCCGCCCCGAGGCAGGTCGAGCGAGCCGATCACCCCACTGCGCGAAGCCGCTTGCCGACGATGGCCAGCCCCTCTCGGCATCCTGGTCCCGTGCTGACCCCTCCTGTTGGGTCGAACGCTGCAAGTGCCATGCATGATCGCTCGGAAAATGATAGGGTGGGTCCAGAGTGTCCTGGAGAATTTCGTTAAGGATTTCGAGGTAAATTGTTGACGCTTCGCGAATCCCCTCCAGCCCATCCAGAAACGATGCCCAGAGGAATTGCCTCGATCAGGGAAGTGGGCAGCATATAGAGGAAGCCATTCTGAGACATCTTGGGATATCTTGAGCCATCTTGGAGGTTATTTCGGGCTCTCCCCGGCGCTCTTGGAGTCATCTTAATCAGTGCCCCCCCCAAGAGGCCAACATGTGGCTAAAACCTTAGTAACATCAATGATTTGACATTCTCGCCGAGGCCTCTTGGAGCATCTTGGGTGCCTCTGGGGGGTCTCTTGGGGCCTCTTGGGGGTCTCTTGGGGGCCTCCTGGGGGCCTCTTGGGGGCCTCTTGGGGCCATCTTGGGGCCATCTTGGGACCCCTCAGGGCCTCCTGGGCGCTTCTTGGGGCCATCTTGGAGGAGATCGACCAAACAAGAGGGGAGCTTCAATTAGGCCCCCCCCTCTCAGGAAGCCAAAATGGGGCCAAAACCCCAGTATCACCAATGATTTGGCTTCCTCGCCGAGGCCGTTTTGGACGCCCTGACACCTCGCGACCCCCCCCCCTCCATGTCCAGGGGAGGGGGTAGGGGGAGGGGTCAAGTTACCCCCTCCCCGCTCGCAAGCCGTCTCGCTCACTCCCACCCGCCCTCCCAACACATACGTAGCACCCGAGTCTGGCCCGAGCCTCAGCATATTCAGCAGTCGTCTTTGGATGGGCAGCTACTGGGGGCCAATCCGCCGCCGCCGCCGCCGCCTCCGCCGCCGCCGCCGCCGCCGCCGCCGCTGCCCGCCGCCGCCGCCCCCGCCGCGCCGCCGCCGCCGCCCGCCCGCCGCCGCCTGCCCGCCGCCGCCTCCGCCGCCCGCCGCCCCCCGCTGCCTAACCGCCGCCGCAGCCGCGGCCGCTGCCGCCACCGCCGCCGCCGCCGCCGTGCCGCCCGCCCCCGCCCCCACCGCCGCCGCCGCCGCCGCCGCCGCCGCCGCCGCCAAGTGTACTCTGTATTGTTTTTTGACAGGGATGGTGGGGGGGGGCGCATCGGGTTGGCTACGCATGTTCCGAATTTGGAGGCAAAGTGTGTTTTGTATTGTTTTTTTACAAGGGATGGTGGGGGGTGTCGGCATGGACTCGGGTTGGCCCCCAGTCGCCTGGGGGAAGGGGTGTTTATTAATAGGGAACAGTGATAAACACTTCCCCGAAGGGAAAGAAGGAGGGGTGGAAGAGGAAAGTCTCTAAACCACCGACGTCCAGAGGGCTGGTGGGATTTCGTGTTGATTTTTTTGGCCAGGAATGAAGATTAAGACAATTCCACGCGAAAGTCACTTCGTTGTTCGCTCGCCGGTTTGGGGTTTTGCATCGACAGAAATCTACGCCACAAATCGGCTGCAGCACGTCTGCAAGATTGGTGTAGTGAGATCAGGGTCTGGTTCGACGCCATATTCGCCGGACATGGCAGCTAAGTGGGTGCAGTGCGCAATGGGGGGGGGATGTGGAGGGAGGGTGGAGGGGCAGGACGTCAGCTGCGGCATGCGCGCCCCCACCTGTGTCTCTCTCTCTCTCTCGTGTCGCTCCTCCTCGCTCCCCCCCTCCGATTCTCCTCGCCCGTATCCCTTCCCCGCCCTTTATGACAGCATTGGGTAATGAGTGGTGGGACCTGCAAGGGAAATGTCTTGTCTCTGCTTCTCGATCACACCATGAAAGAGCCCTGAGGCTGATCAGGTGTGCGGCCACGGTCGCCGTCCGGATGCATGTTCCGATCCGATCCGATCCGATCTCCCGCTCCCGCACTGACTCATCCTGCCACCCTCCTTTCCTGTCTTCCGCAATCCGACCTCGTGACTTGTCCACAGCGTGCGCCCCCAGAGGTCCATGCCCTTCCCCGTTTTTTTGTTGTTGTGGTTGTTTTGTGTGTGTGTATATATATATATATATATATATATATATATATATATATTGTTAGTTTTTTATCCAACCGAGCTGCTTTTTTGGACGACCCTGGGGCCTGGTGGGGGCCCCCCCAGAGGCCGACGAGGGCCAACCGCGTGCGATCTCTCCACGGTGCGAGGAGGACAGGGCCCCCCCCCCCCTCGCCCTGAGATCCGACGTCCCGAAAAAATCGAGACATCGCGAGAAATCACGACTGGAGCCCTATAGACCCCATCGTTCTGCGCCTTCTTGCAAGCCGGGTCGATCTGTGAGGGTCCTGGGGCCCGAACTTGGGCGAAAATGCCCGGTCGGAAAAGTTGAGACGCCAGGATCTTAGGGCGATAGCCCAGCCCCCCGACGGCATGATTTTTTCATGACGTCGACCCCCACAGGTCTCGACCCATTCCCCGGGACCGGTTTCTCGCCCTGAGTCGTTTTTTTACGGTCCCGAGGCCCAGCAGGGGCCCCCGGAGGCCGAAAATTGCGAAAAACCTCCCGTCTTGATTTTTTCATTGCCCGAGGGGGCCTGGGCACCTGGCTCTGCCCGGCGGGCCCGGCCCGCCGCCGCCGCTCCCCTCCTCCTCTTCCTCCTCCTCCTCCTTTTCCTCCCCCTCCTCCTCCTCCTCCTCCTCCTCCTCCGCCTCCCCCTCCTCCTCCTGCTCCTCCTTCCCCCTCCTCCTCCTCCTCCTCCTCCTCCTCCTCCTCCTCCTCCGCCTCCCCCTCCTCCTCCTCCTCCCCCTCCTCCTCCTCCTCCTCCTCCTCCTCTCTTCCTCCTCCTCCTCCTCCGCCTCCCCCTCCTCCTCCTCCTTCACCCTCCCCCTCCTCCTCCGCCTCCCCCTCCTCCTCCTCCTTCACCCTCCTCCTCGTCCTGCTCCTCCCTCCTCCTCCTCTCCTCCTCCTCCTCCTCCTCGTCCTCCTCCTCCTCCTCCTCCTCCTCCTCCTCCTCCTCCTCCTCCTCCTCCTCCCCCTCCTCCTCGTCCTGCTCCTCCTCCTCCGCCTCCCCCTCCTCCTCCTCCCCCTTTCTCCTTCTCCTCCTCCTCCTGTTCATCCTGTCCCTGCCGTTCTCCCCCCCGGCCCGGGGCGGCCGACAGGCGCCGCCGGCGACGTGGCGCTGGACGGCCCGGCGCACGCGCTCGCGCTGCTCGGGTGCGCCGCCGGCCCTGGTCGGCTTGCGGTCATGCCCGGCCGGCTTCCTCTCGGCGGCACGCGCCAGCCTCAGGGCTCTGGTGGTTCGGCCTCCCCGGGTCGACCCCCTCGCGACGCGAAAAAACCGCGACGTTTTTTTTTTTTTTGTTGTTGTTGTTGCTGCTATTCTCGGCCTCCGGGGGTCCTTACCGGGCCCCAGGGCCGTCAGAAAACGACTCAGGACGAAAAACCGGTCCCGGGGAATGTGTCGGGACCTCGTGGGGTCAACGTCATGAAAAAATCGTGACGTCGGGGGTCTGGGTCAAGGCTTTGGCCCTTGGACAAGGGCCTGGGGGGGGCGGAAGAGGGAGAGCGGGGAGGCTTCGCGAGGGAGCGGGGAGGCTTCGGAGAGGGGGAAGCGCAGATCTGTGGCCATAGGGAGGACAGGGGTTTCGAGACTAGGGCTCGCAGCTACGAAGAGACAAGGGCTTGAGGATCACAACTTCGTGCGAAACCGCATCCACCTCCCCAAACTTTTCCCGAGGCCCCCTGACGGTGCGGTGACCACGCAGTGTGGTGCGTCAGGGGGATTCGGGGTGACCGCACGGTTTTGGGACTTGGGTCGTTCTCCGAGGGCGTCTCGCGCAGCTGGGGCCTCCAAGATCCCAAAACGGTGCGGTGACGGACCGTGCGGTGAGGCCGTTGGGGATTTCCGACATCACCGCACGGTCCGTCACCGAACGGTTTCGGGGCCCCGAACATGTTAGAGTGTCGGCATCGTTAGACCGATCCCCATCCTTGCCTCTCGGGCCCCACCAGCCCACACTCCGGAGTGGGGGTAGGCCCCGCGAGGCCCGAAGGGACAGGCGCGCATCCCCACCCAGGTGGGTAAGCTGGTCAGTGGGGCCAAGGTGCGCCAGAGCGGTGGAACGAGGCTCATCCAGGCCTCCCAGGTGAGGTCGGAGGATCGCGCCGCGCTTTCGATGCGGCTCGATGTTGAGCCAGGTCTTCTTCATGCCGACGTCGACGATGGAAGTTCTCCGCTGCTTCTGGCGTGTTTTTTTTTTTGTCACTCGTTCTCGGTGTCCGATGGCCCTCGCCGGCCCCCGGAAGGTCGTCCAGAGCCTCGACCCTCGAGCCCCGACCCTCCATGCTTAAGTCGGGCGTGTCCCTCTACAGGGGGAAAATTCAAAAATTGTAAAATTTTTGAGTACTATGTTTTATGTATTTTTTGTTTTAATAGTATTTTTCATTTTTTCGCCCAAAATCCCCCTGTAGGGGGACACGCCCGACTTACCTCTATGCCTCTTGCGGCTCTCGCCGCCAATTTTTCCTGGCGGGGGCCACCGGCGAGCAGCCGCAAGTCGTCCAGAGCTCCGGGGGCCCCGAGCTGAAAATGGCGCGAGGCGTCGGGCGACTGGGCCGCAGAGGTGCGGCGCGGCGTGGAGCCCGATGTCCTCCACGCCAGCGTCGCCGACGTAAATCGCCGCCGTCGCCGCTGCATCGCTGACGCATCGGCGTTGCATCTGCGATGCGGCGCGATCCTGCGACCCCATCCGCTCGAGCCCTGTGTGGGAGGCCTCCGGGCCAAGAAACGCCCTGTTCGCCTCCAGGGTACTTTGGGTTTCTTGGGTTTCTATGGTTTTGCTGTGGAAAACGTGGCGTTCCCACACCAGAAATCCATGGACGTCCTGGGGTCTCAGGGTTGGGTTTCTTGTGTACTGGCCTCCACCTGAATGTGGGAGGCCTCCAGGCCTCCCTCTTCTGTTGCACGTTCGAGTCGTCCTTTGCCGGACGGGTTTTCGGGAGTCTGCGTCGGCTCCTGGAGGTCTTCCTGCCTCGGGTTGCGTTCCAGCAGCTGCGCCTCGCCGAGAGCGTTCTGGGGTCGGGTGTCTGGTGTCTGGATCGCCTCAAACCGCCGCCAGAGAGCCAAGCTGTGACCCGAAAGCCGAGTGGTCCTTCACCGGAGCGACTTTTGGTGCGAGACCACAGTCAAGTTAGGATACAACTCCGGGGAGGTTAAGGTCAGCATCGGCGCTGGCTTATATGTGGTCGAAAACTGGCCAAATTAGGTATGCGATGTTGATTAGAAAGGGTGCTCGCGCGAACCTCGCGCCGTGTGCGGGGCTCTTTGTGAATGCCGTCGAGATTGAGAGTATTTCCAAGAAGGCCTCGGAGAAGCTGATGAGCGTCTAAGGTGACTCCAGCCAAATCAGGAGGAGAAAGAACACACAGACACAATCAATCGTCGATTCCCCAGAAAATATGGGAAAATATGGGAAGTGGGGGGGAAGACAAAAACCAAGAGAACATTGGGAAATGTGGGGAATCCTGTTATTTGTGTGTATTTATCTGTGTGCCCCAGGGCCCCTTCACTAAAGAGTTCCAGCATGAATTCTCGGGGCCTCGTGGGCGGGGTGCTCTGGCCTCTCGGGGCAGTCCCGCGGTCGTCTGGGCGTGCCGTGGGACGCGTCAGGCGACCCAAAAGCTCTCCAGACCGCCCTGGCTCAAGGGGCCAAGGGTCCACCCTCCACTCCTCCTCCTCCTCCTCCTCCCCCCCCCTCCTCCTCCTCCGTAGCCATTCGGGCTCAAGGCCAAAATGGTGACCATACCACTGCCGATCTGGGGTAGGCTCCCACAGCTTTCAGTGCTCTTCATATTTGCAGCCACGCCCACGGGCGAGCTGCCGCCCACCGCAGCTACACTCAGGGGCGAGCTGCCGCCCACCGCAGCTACACCCAGGGGCGAGCTGCCGCCCAGTCCATATCTCTCCCTCGCGTGGCTCGCGAGAGCTCCTTGGGAAGCAGTGGGACGATGGCCGCCGCGGACCGCGGTGGAGGGACCGCCCCTGCTGACGGAGGAGCTGCCGCCAACGGCGGCACCAGGCCGCGACGTGCACGCCCCGAAGGTGGACGAGGATCGCCAGCTAGGTTCGCTGGCCAGTACACGGTCTGCAAGCTGTGTCGATACCGATGGACGTGGAAGGGGAAGTCCGAATGCTTCTACTGTGGCAAGCAGCTGGCCCCATCACCTGCCGAGCACCGCCAGCCTACTGGGGCGTGGGCAGGAGTCAGCAAGCCACCGCCGTGGAAGGAGCAGCCAGTGGCCGTCGCCCCGACCAGGGACGCCATCATCGCCACGCTCAGCACGCTCCTCAGCGACACCAAGCACGCCGAACTCGTCGGCAACCTCAAGGACGCCCTCCAGCAGCCCGACAAGCCGCAGCCTGCCCGCACTGCAGAGCAGGTGCTCCAGTCGGCGGTGTCAGTCCTCACAGACAGGGAGAAGAAGTTCAAGCAGTCGGTCGACGACGTCGAGGCCGCCAAGCAGTGGTACGACGATGCCGTGGCCAAACAAGAGCAAGCCGCCCTGGACCTCGCCCATGCACAGAACGCATGCGCCAAGGCGCAAGCGGACCACAGCGCCAAGCTTGCTGGAGCTGCACGCGGAGCACCACAAGTGGGACCCCAGGAAGCCTTCAAGGTCGACAGCTCGATGTGGGACGACCTCTCCATCTACGACGAGGGCACCCGCGCCCAGATGGAACAGTGGAAGCAAGAGCTTGACCAGCGCCTGGCCGAGCTCAACAATGGTCAAGAGAAAGTACGTGAACTCCTACGCCAAGCCAAGGAGTCCACCACCAACCCAGCGAAGCGGAAGAAGCCGAGTGGGGAGGAACCAGCTGCTCAGCAACCTCATCCTGAACCCGCTCCCGCTTCACCAGAGGAACAGCAGCCAGCGGCCGCGCCTGGAGGACAGGCGCAACCTGGCACGCCAGGAGGCTCTGCCGCCCCACCTGCTGAGCCACGCCAGCCTGGAGGGGCCGCCCCTGCTACCGACGAGCCCTCCGCGGAGGACCGCAAGGCCGCCGCCGAGCTCATCGCCGCCACCGCGAGGGCCAGGGAGCTGGCCCACGCAGCTAAGGGCTTGGGCAAGGGCGCCACCATGGCGCCAGCTGCAGCAGCAGGAGCCCCACCGTCGCTGGGGTAGCCGCAAGCGGCCGCAGCGGCTGAGGGGGCATGGGGGCCGCGCCGGGGGGCCCCCCACGGCAGGTGCACCCGCCCCAGAGGCCGAGCGGGCGGCCCAGATCCCGTTTGGCAACATAACGGCTTGGGGGCCACAGGCCGCCAACTTTTGTCGCAACGCAGGCCTCAAGTACCACCTCATAGCGCTGGCGGAGACCCACGTCGACGCGTGCGGCATCACGGAGCAGATTGGCAAGCTCGCCATGGACGGCTGGAAGCTGTCGGCCACGCCCGCGGTGGCCACCAACACATCGGACAATGGGGCCCATGGCGGCGAGTGGATCCTCGCGCGCGGGGACGTGGCGGCGACCGCGTTCGAGGGCTACAGGGAGTACTGCGTCAAGCGCCACAAGAGGCAGCCGTTCGTGGGTTTCACGCCGACAGTCCTCCACTCCAAGAGCGGCGACATAGTCATCATAGCGGCGTGCCTGCGCCCTGGCCTACGGGGCCAAGGCGCGAACAGGGACATCCTGGTCTCCATCTCCACCTTCGTGGACATGCTCATGGGCCCGTGGATCATCCTGGCCGACTGGAACTACGAGCCGCACTGGTGGGACAACAAACCGTGGCTCACGCGATGGAACGGCACCATCCTCACCGACCCGAGCTGCGAGGCGACGTGCGACAAGGGCTCGGGCTCTGTGTACGATTACGCGATCGCACGAGCGGACATCGCCACGCACGCCGGGATCGAGGCCATCTACGACGTCCCCTGGAAGACCCACTGCGGCGTCCAGATCACGGTGGACACCGCCGAGCCGTGGCAGTACAAAGCTATAAAGGTTCCCAAGGCCCTCCCTCCCCGCACGAGCCAGACCTAAGAAGGTCGCGGACCCGAGCAGCAAAAGGTCAAAGGCTCGTGCGGAGGCGTTGCGAACCAGTAGGGGAAGGTTACCAGAGCACCTGCGCGACGAGTTCGACGCCCTCTACTTCAACCGCGAGACGGCCAAGGAGGACCCCACGTCATCCCCCAGCAGTACTGGGGCGCTGCAGCCG